ACAAATATATACTTTAACTTACATAATCTTATATGTTTTTAATTCTATAACAGAATAACTTAATAACAACAGTAATATTTATATAGTTATGCATTAGAGATGGATTCGTGTTTTTGCTGCTTTTTTTCTTCTCGGAATTTCGCATTAGCCATGAACATTTTTAATGGACCAACAATTTCAAGATCAGTACAATTTCTATGTTTTGGTATGCTTCTTATTGTTGCTGAAATATATAAAATATTAATTTTTTTAATTGTATAACTTTAAGAGAATAAGAATTATTTTAAAATAGTCTACCAAATATTAATGAACAAGAATTAAGCACAGAAAACACATTTTTCTTCTTTTGTCCAACATAAGAATGCACAGAGAGTATATTATTATGAAAAACTTTGGCCATTATTTGTCTAGTCATATCAGCAACCTTTGGACGTTCCAATCTGGATAGATAATTTATCTGAAAATGGTTCAAGAGTATTAATATTTAGTTCAATAAAATATATCATTAACTTGGTTGTTTTATTAATGAATATTTTAGTCAGCTCTATTGAAACCTATTCCCATAAAATTATATTAAACAATGAAAAGTGATACATTAAATAAAACAAATATTTAATGAAATGTAATTCACTTTAGTTATAAAGCTGTAAAACTAATAATTTTAAAAATAATAAAACTGAATAAAAAAATCAATACATTTTATTTAAAAAAAAATAATGAAAGTATTTTATCGTTAAAGATCTTTACGTCTTATCACTGTAACATAGCAAGAAATATACAATATCTTCTCCCCCCTCCCCCCCATTCACTCGTCAATAAACTTATACTTTTACAAGATATATATTAAAATAATTATGATAATATACTTACCATTTGAAGTCGAAAAGTACTATCCAATAATTTGTCTTCAAATATACTTAATTCATCCAATGTTTTTATTGGAAAATCAAATATATCATCCGTGGTATTATCATTGTATTCAACTATCTTCTTGTTTAAGCAGTTATTCATTATGGTTTGTTCCAGTCTTTCAATTTTAATACCATGTTCTCTCATTTCATATTTTAAATTAGTAACAGCCCGCAGAAGTAAATCTATTTTTTCTAAATAAATGTAATGCAATTAAGATTTAAAAACTATAATATAATAAATATATAAAGAATAATAATAATATTTACCATCAGATGTGTTTTTAACTTTTCTTTCATTAGATACATCAAAAGAATCTGAAATGTAGATGTACAGTTTTATTAGGTATACTAATAGTAAACAAAACTACCGATATTCATATATTTAAATTTAAATATACTTGGATGAGTGTTCACTATTGAATTGAAATCTATACGTTTCTTACATCTGTTTGATTTTACCGAAAAATCACTAGTATCCTGAGTAACATTCCAATGTCCTGATGGTGAACTCAAACAAGATACTAAATTTGTAACTTTGCCGGACATTTTAGAAGAATCTATGATAGAAATTTAAAGTTTCATTAAGATATGCATTATAAAATATAAATATTTTATTGTAATTCAGTAAATAACATTGTACCTGGAGTATTTTCTATAAAGCCCAATTGTTCATTAGAATTTTTTGAATGTATATTCGTTTGACTTGTACTTCGATTTTCTAATGGTGAACTCAACCAAGATTCAGAAGTGTTATCATAATAACCTTTCTCAGATATTTTAGATGAACCTATAATTTAAATGAAAAATTATTTAAAATAGGCAATATAAAATAAGTCTTGTATTTCAGTAAATAACATCATACCTGAGGTATTTGCCATAGAGTTTAAGCCAAATTGTCTATCATTAGTACTTTTTGAAAGTATTTCCTTTTGACTTAGATTCAAACGTTCTGTTGATGAAGTCAAACCACTCACTAAATTCGTTTTTGGGGTTTTTGGTGAACCTATGCAATATAGAGAATTATTCAAACAAACAATGATTAGGTATGTATACATAACAATGGTCAGAGAAAAGTGTTGTATGTAAAAAGATCCATTCTGTACTGAAATAAAATAAATTTGGTCTTACTACTAATATTATTATTAGGATAAAAAATAAAATAAAATACCTGAATGCATTGAAGTATTTTGTTTAATTGGATTATGATGATTTTCATAACTACTATCTATAAAAACCAAGCAAATAAGACTATTACTATTATTTATTCAGAATGATTCACCATAATAGCATGTTCACCCAAACTTACAAAATCTAACATATAATATTTAAAAATTCTTTATTTTTTTGGTTTTTATGTAGAGCAGTGATACAACATTTCTGGTTTTCAAAAGGGTACCCCCCTTTTTGACTGTAAATTATTAAGTGGATAATTATTTTTAAAATGTTGAAGTATCTTAATCAAAATTTGAATGATTAGTTTCTGAATCATCAAAATGTACCTATAAATATTAAGGATATATATCTCAAAATAGTTTTAAAAGAAAAATATATAAAATAGATTTTTAATAATGGCTCTAGTATTTATTTTACTTAGCTATTTTTACAAATTATAAATTTTGAGATACTTATTATATTAACTAGTAGGTATAATATTACTAAAATATTCAAATTATCATAGCTCCATATCACTCAAACCAATTACCATGGATCTTTTATGCATAGAAAACAAAGTTAAATAACTCATTAGCTATGCTTGTCCAAATTTAGATTTAAATAGGTCAATATCTTCAAAAATTATCTACTAAACAATTTATTGTAAAAAAAAAATACCCTAAAATACTGCGGTACCTACGAAAAATTTCAAGAATTTGAAAATATAGTCTTAATGTGTAGATTTTAATAACTATATTATTTAAGAAAAAAGGGTTGAGAAAGCTTCCTTTACCAATCACCCTGAATATATTATATTTGAAATCATAAATAATCAAAGATTAAATCATACCTTCATCAACGTTAACATTAAATAGAGGGGGATTATCAAGAATTGAAAAACTTCTAAAATTTTTTTTCTGACTTAATCTATTGTTTTTTTCATGGATTTCATTACATGAGATTTCCTCGCTGCTTGAATTCAGTTTTTTATGTCTGATTTTTCTGGATTCCTTATCATCATTAGCAGAGGATAGTTCGGATGTT